GTACATTTATTCCAAACTATATTTGCCAAATGATTGAATTTGATAAGTAGATGGTTGAAGTGTAGATAAAAGCTCTTTAAAACTGTGATGTAATAATTTTACTTCAGACCATAACCAAAAATGACCAAGTTTAAAGGTTAAAAGGTAAATCTCAATTTTAAATAGTTACGTATACACAAAACAGTCGGGGCTGTAAATAAAGTCAAGTATAAAGGTTAAAGTTTAAGGTGTTTTGTCATTTAAGATAAGGTTAGTAGCATAGGCAAAACTTGCTTCAATTATTCTTTTAAAAATACTATAATTGTCAATCTGATGAATACTTACAATTAAGTACTAGAACATTAATTGTTCATTCTTATGTCGATATATTTCACATAACATCACAATGCTAACCCAATATAGACTAACTCTTAACGTAATTTTCTTTCGTCTAAATTTGGCTCTAAAATAATCATTACTATGAACTTTTCTCAGAGCATAGAATAATATATTACCGATATGTGGCATCATCATAAGTCTTTATTTACTTCATAGTTTTGTGTAGTTTAAAACAAAAAAAAAACATTAGTTTAAACAGAAAGAATTCTGAAACAGCCTAAGGCATCAATCATTAAGATGCTTTATTATTAGATTGACGACATATTTGATACTTTTGGAGGAGTTTTTTTTTCTTACAAAACAATCGGCTTTCCCATGGGAACCTATAGTGCTCATCTTCTTGTCAACTTGTTCCTTTATACATACGAGGCAGATTTCATAAAAGAGCTTCTCAAAACGAATAAAAAGCTAATATTATCCTTTAACTTCACGTTCCGCTATATAGATAATTACCTCTCTGAATAATTCGTTTGGTTCCTAGATTGTACGTATCTATTATTTCCAATTGAACTCGAAATAAAGGATATTAGAGATACAGTTAAGTCTGCCTGATATATTGACTAACATCGCCAAATTGACAAGAACCAAGGACGGCGTTGAGAAAAACTTTACAACAAAAAGATGATTTTAGCTTTCCAGTTGTAAGCTTTCAATTTGTATGCAGCAACATTCGAGCATCGCCTGCATATGGAGTATATATCTCTCAGTTGATAAGATATTCGAGATTTTGCGTTTCCCATCACGATTTTCTTGAAGATTGTTGCTGCTCATAAAGTAATCTAAGGTTTCTACGTGGCAAAGTTTAAATCATCCCTCTTCTGTTAAAACGTTGATAATGGAGTGACTGATTCAGGAGTGAGCACAGGGGATGTACACCCTTTTCCGTAAGATTTTGTTGTAATAAGATTTAAAAAAGTAAACAACAATTGAACTTGCAACGGACATAAATATTATAAACCAAAATAGAATTGTATAACATTTTCCCATAATTATTTATATCGAAAATAGGAGAAGATATCTCAAGAGGATGATTAAAAACAAATAAATCGAAGAAGAATATACGACGTTATGACCAAAAGAGGGGAAAAGACAAACAACCAAACTATCCGCAAAACACTTCATGGAACAACACAAACACTTAAATAACCCGAGAAAAAACTCAGGTGCACCGGATGATTCAGCAGTTTTTGATCAAGTAGCAAAGCTTATTGTGTTACTCCGGTTAACATCCGTTGATAAGTCACTACCGGTGATAAGGCATTATGCAAAAGCACATTAGTAAATATCTCTTGGTTAAGACATTAAGAAATAATTGAATTACTATAAAAAGAAACAAGATTCAAATATTTAAAAAAAAATATAATCCGATTTTTTCTTTAATCAGCTTTAACAATTGTTCTTTTTTGCATCATAATTTGCATGGTGTGTCTATTCAAATCTCCAGAGTTAAACAAAAGTAGTAAACACGTTTAGTTATTTTAATATTTGTTTACTTTATAAGCAGCATTAAAATATAGATTTAGGTAACAGTAGTGTACCGATGTTCTAGTCTCATAAATCGATTAATAAGGCATATCAAGGTAAAAAAACAAAAACTGAGATAATTGCATGAACCCCAAAAGGAGCGATAGCGGGAGCGTCGAAAGGGTTAGCGTTTCCTGTTATGAAAGCATTACCCGTCATGCAAATCCAATATCCTGGTATCTAAAGATAAAAAATGAGATTTTTTTTGCTAGTGAGTTCAGAATCGGAGATATCTAATCGGTCAAACAATTTATTTGTGAAGGTGACCGCCAAACTTATGTATCGTCGATTCTAGTCATTTTACCTCGTCACTCTGATGGAGATTTTTTTTTGTATTGAAAACACTCCTTTCTTTTCCTCGACATTTTCTGGCACTCTACAAATACAAAAAGTAATATAAAGAGCTATTATTTTAGTAATTAATTAATATATTTGGCTCATCGTCTTTGGGTTTTGATATTATCTAACATTTTATGTTGTTTGTTTTCCAGACTATTCGTTCCAGATGTTTCAGATGAGGGATATTTCACAGACACGTTTTGTGATGTGCAAGGAATTGGTATCATATCAAACATAATTATATATTATAAGTTATATATTGTATTTTAATTGCTTTGATATTCACTGAATTTTGAAATCCGCTAAATACAGTTCTGGAGAAAATTGATAAAAATACTCTGCATTCCGGAAAAAAAGTACATTGAGATTTATAGTACAGGAACACACTCGTAGTAGTTTGAATAATTGTCTCGCTATTTAAAACAATTGTACATTATAATTGATCCAGGAAAAAAAATAAAAACTAGTTCCAATTTAAATCCAATTATTTAACTTTCTTATTGTCTTCTATAAACACTGACACGAGAAAGGATGATTTGTCATTCATCAATGGCACGGTATTTGACTAATTATGGGGATTGGTAAGAGTTACTGGAACGATTCCGATGTTTACATTTTCGAAATAGTATTTAATTAATTGATTTTAGTTTATTTGTCTATAAATTGAAAAAATAAGATTTACCTCTATATTTTGTATTTGGAAGGATACAAGCGACATAGAGAAATTAGTAAGTTGTTTTTACATGTTTTTAAAAACTAATTGTTGGAGATATTTAACTGTGTACATATAAATATATGGAACCTTTGCATTTCTAAACCAAACAAATTCGTAACACGTGCAGTAACTGTCACAGAGACAGTAGGAAACCCTTTTGAAGTCAATATTTTGCTGTGTGAAAACCCCTAAATGATGACAATCATAAAATGAAATAAAAGTAAGAAATTGCCGTTGGATACTACAAGAATGTCTGTGACCTTCTGGTTGAAATAAGTTCATTGTGCAAGGAAGGATATAAAATAGAAAGTGCGAATGGATAAAAATAACCATGAGACAAACGCACAAAACGCTTACTATACTGTTCTGTTTTAAGAATGTGTAAGTGGTTGATAAATTTATATACATATTTGTTTTATTTCATTTATTTTTTTTTGGGGGGGGGAGGGGAGAGGGGGTGTATACATGTATATAGAACAAGAGGGTTATTCTGTTTAATATAATGTGTGTGAATATTTAAAGCGAATCTTACCAAATTTGCCATGACTTATGATCTTTTCTGCATCTAATTTTCGTCTGGATCAAAAACATTAAAAAACAAATATCAAACCAATATGAGTTTAATTTTTCCGATAATGTTGCAATATATCTTTTTATGCCCCACCTACAATAGTAGAGGGACATTATGTTTTCTGTTCTATGCGTCCGTTCTTTCGTTCGTCCGTTCGTTCGTTCGTTCGTCCGTCTGTTCCGCTTCAGGTAAAAGTTTTTGGTCAAGGTAGTTTTTGATGAAGTTGAAGTCCAATCAATTTGAAACTAAGTACACATGTTTCCTATGATATGATCTTTCTAATTTTAATGCCAAATTAGAGTTTTGACCCCAATTTCACGGTCCACTAAACATAGAAAATGATAGTGTGAGTGGGGCATCCGTGTACTATGGACACATTCTTGTTTTAAAAGAAAAAAGTTTTCGAATGGAAGTTGTACATCATACCAATGCCAAAAACCTTTCCGAAAACATATATCTTAAAAAGATTTCCAGCTACACGAAACCATCTAAACTATTAAAAATTCCAATAGACCGTACACGAAAGTGAAGAATAATAACATAAACAGGTATATTGAATTTTAATTCTTTACAGAGATCAATAAAAGATCATTAAATAAACCTTAGTTTACTCAGCATAATTGCGTCCCTTCATCAAAGTGAATTTAATGAAACATCGGAAATGATTTTATTTCATATCAAGATTGATTGAATCTTAATTGTCGATGGACTATCCTATTTACACAAAGCAAACGCAAACATATACAAAGCATTTCATCGACGCAGTTATTATCGTAAATACATTCTAAATTACATTCATTTCATATAAAAAATACCTTTTGTTAATTCTGAAACATCCATGATTGACTTATTGCAACCTTTATAATATTTATTTTGTTTTCGGTCATTTATTTTTTTTAATTTAAAGCTGTTTACTGAATATTGGATTCAATCTATTTGTTTTGTTTCATTCTTTAGCATGATTGCTTGATCAGTTGTCAAACTGTACCGATTGACTTTCAATCTAGTAACGGGAACGCTGCATATAAGTAATGCTCGTCACAGAATTTAAACTTATTTCAAATATTGTTATTACAGCAACACTGTGAGTCAACATATTCAACTGAAACTGAAAAATTGTAAAATAAAAAGAAGATGCGTTTTAAAAACTTCAGAGTGTTGCTTATGATCAGTATTGCTACATATATGGAACTTGTATACGCTCAAAGTCATGCTGATGTTAAAAAGCTCTATACTGATTTGTTCACTGACTATAAGAAAGAAATCTTACCTACGGCGGACCAGTCCAAACCATTAGTGGTAGGAGTTACATTTTACATGGCTTCATTCAATTCGTTTAATGAGGTAGAAGAGACAATTTCACTAACTGCAGCAGTAGGAATGAATTGGACAGATCCTGCTCTTATGTGGAATCCCATCTTGTATGGTAATTTGTACGTTACCACAATTAATCCGAAAGATTTGTGGCTTCCGCAAATATTTCTCACAAACAGAGTAGACTCGATGAATCCGGTAGGAGATGACACAATGTTTTTCCCTACAATTGTATTTACTGGAGAGGTGATATACAGTCCTGGTGGAATTCTTAAGGCTAAATGTCCGACGGATATATCGAAATTTCCCTTTGATAGTCAGACATGTACTCTACAATTGATGCCATGGGGATTTGTTAAATCGAATCTTTTACTATCTGCCAATTTTGATAAAGCTCAGCTTGACTTCTTTTCTGCACATTCAGACTGGAATCTGTTAGAATACTCTACGAACGTTGTAAATGAGTCTTTGGGTTACAGTGTGTTAAACGTGAAACTTACCTTTAAACGCGAGCCGTTGTATTTCGCGGTGATGATTATTCTTCCGACACTTCTATTTTCACTTTTGAATCCATTAGTTTTCATCTTACCAGTAGAGTCTGGAGAACGAGTGTCATTATCGATGACAATTTTACTTTCATACGCCATATTTTTAACACTTGTATCAGCTTCGATTCCCGCCTCTTCGAATCCAATGTGCGTTTTGTTAATTGCTATGATCGCTATTATCTCGATCAGCGGAGTAATCGTAATTGGTTCCATTATCAATGCAAAATATTTCTACCTGGAAAATGGCGAAAACATTGGAATAGTGATGAAATCTTTCACCATAGTATGGACGAGGAAAACGAACAAAGTGGTTCCAATAGATGAATACAAAGAACCGGCTATTAGGGGAAAGGATATAACGGAGATGTTAGATTTTCTTTTTTTCTATGGAACATATATTTCAATCATTGTAATCATTTCTGGTTATTTTTTGTACGTTTTGTTATAATGGTTTGAAAATTATCCAATCAGTTAACAGTCAAGGTAGTTTATGCTTCCTACATGCTATCATATGTGAAACATTTCAACAAAATGCATAAGTATTGCAAACCATGGAAATAAATTGACCATTCTAAACTGTTGTTTTCGTTGTATTTCATTATTCAGATGATACAAAAATAATTTAGCACTCTTAGTCCAGAAATCATTTTGTTTTATATCGCACAAAAAAAAATATATAAAAAAACTTTATTATTGAAAAAATCTTTGAAGAAGTGCTTAAGTATGACAAGATAATCCCACCAATAAATTAAAAACACGACTTTGAAAGAAAAAAAAACAGCACACGATCATGATTCACAGAACAGAGCTTAATAACGAACTGCTGTATTGTTTATTTGCTATTAATCACAAGCAAAACAAAGTGTGGTTTCCGACATTAACGGACAGAATCTGAAGTTTTCCCAAATCATGTTATAAGTTTTTAAGCATATCTTGGTATTTTTCATGATCACGTAGTTTTTTTATTGGAAAATAGGTGGTATGTTTTCCTCCATAGGCGACTATATTAGCATTTTCTTAATATATTATTTTTGTAATAAATACCTTAACAGCTATGTGTGTAATTAGTATCTTATTATTCTGTTTTAGAAATTGAAGTCAAATTCCGGCATTATCATCTTCAAACGGAGCTTGTTTATTATATCCAATACCACCGTTATTTTACATAGAATTTATGAAAAAATTGGAAGCCTATTCGAATAATTCGTAAGAATTTATTTCCCTGTGTTTCAAAATTTATATTGTAAATATACACGCTGCAGATATTCATAAATAAAAAAATTATATATTATACCCTTACATCCCATCTCAGTTGGCTTCCTTCACCTGCCTTGGGTACACAAAAGGCCAACCTAAAGCCGGTAAAATGTAATACTAGTACTACTTTTCCCATATGTTACAAATTCTAAAAGTAATTCATATTTTCCAATCAGCTTATAAAAAAAATGAGATTGGTAACAATTACCATGAGGATATTCATAATTATTAATTAGTTAAAGGTAACGTTACCTTGCCTATGTTCAAATATCATAAATACATGAAGAAAATAAAAATCAAGGTAAAAGACAGAAAACTGAAGAAATCGCAGGTTGAGCGTCTCCTATTGTGATCCATCAGCCATTCGCAAAAGGATAGTTATCGATGAGGTCACTGAACTTAGAAATACATTTTGAAGAAAACATCATATTAAAAAACTGAAATTCCATGAATGGACTACTAGTATTTCGTAAGGATGACAATGCTTATTCATGTAATATTGGTCTAAAGAAACCAGTTGCAAAATGTTAATTCGTTTTCGATATGTCTTACAGTGCTTTGTTACTCAGTAAACAATGTTGAATAAATTATTCAAAATAATAGTAGACATGAAGAAGTAATTACAAATGAAGCTACTTAATAGTACACTGTAACTATTCCTGCCGGAAACGCTAAATACACAATCATTCTGAAGAGCTATCAAAGAATTTTGCTATAAAAGAGCAAGAACAAGTCCAAGCATAGGTCAACAACATATACGTTCATAAGGTCAGATTTTTATCTTCAAATTTTAGATAATACGTTTCATACTTTGTTTTCAAGGTTCCAAAATGCAATTCTATAAATATGAAAATAAATAAATTTGGCATGATTGCTTTTTAGACAACTATCCATCTAAATCAATACCCTACAGTATTCTGATCGCCGAGTATATGTTTGTTAATTTTTGATGGTATTCTACGTTTTATACCCACAAGGCATATATTTTCTTAACCGTGTTTGGCATAGCTTTTCGAAACTTTCGTGTTTTAATGCTCTTTAACTTTAACGTAATTGAATTGACCTTTCCATTGTTTTGATTCGAGCACATCAGATAAGTCTTATGCAAATGAAACTCCAGTGTGGCGTACCAAAGTAAAAACCTGAGGTTCCTTTCACAAAAAATCTTATGACAAAAAACTCGTAAGTTATACAGAAATATTTATGACTTACGAGTATTTGTTCTCGTAAGATTTGTTTTGAAATAGGTCGCTGGTATCTTTGATAAGTTTTAATTTTCCCTTCGTTTTGATTCGTAGATTGTCACATAAGAAATAAAGATTAGTAAAAACAACAAGGAATTTTTCTGCCATGATTGAAGTAGCTTACTCCAGATTATTTCCCTATGACCTTCTTAACAAGAGATGCAAAAGATACTCAAGGGACATTCAAACTCACATGTCGACTATAAACTGACAACACCATGGCAATAACAAAAAAGACCAAAAGACAACTAACAGCTTACAAAACACAACATGAAAAAACTAAAGACTGAGTAATACGAACCCCACAAAAACCGGGGATGATCTCAGGTGCTCCAGGAGGGTAAGCCGATTCTGGTCCACTTATGAAAGTACAAACCCGGTAATAAGTCTAATTCGGTAGGTCAAATTCGGGGAAAAGGAGTATATGTAACAACGACTCTATCAAACAATTGATCGACAATCTAAACAACATAATTACACAATGCAATCAGTACTGCTTCCTATCATATCAAAACTGAGTCAACAATATTTTTTCTTAGCAAACAATGCAATATATTTCTAGTAACCGAATCAAAATTTCACAGACGTCGGTCTTGCTTTGTTCAAATTATACATTAAGTGTTACCCTTTTCCGTCTGTACGTCCGTCCGTTCGTACGACCAAAAATTAATTTCTGTTCTTTTAGTTTGCCTTAATCAAATGTTATGAAACTTATTCACAATGCATATTACCACAAAAAATAGATCAAGTTTACATTTGGATGGCGTTACTTTTACCGTTCTTGAGTTATGTCCCTTTACAAATGGAAACATTGCTGAATTTTGTCGTTTCTGTTCTCATACTTAAGTTTGTCTAAACCAAATGTTATGAAACTCATACACAATGCCTATTACCACAAAACTCAGATCAAGTTCGAATTTGGGTGATATCACTTTCGCCGTTTTTGAGTTATGTCCCTTTATAACTTTATATTCAAGCGGGGGCATCATCTGTGTCCAATGGACACATTCTCCATTTATTTATTTTATGTTTGGTGACTGTTGTTCGTCCTTTCGTTGTTTTTCGTTTGTTTTGCAATGGCATTGTCTGTTTCTCTCAACTTGTGTGTTTTGAATTTCCCCTTGGTATCTTCTGTCTTTCTTACTACTTCCAATATGGTTTACTTTTTCTTAAAATCATTATATTTTATTTATTTTTATTTACACTTCAGTACTTTCAATTACAATTATAAATTTTGAAATATAAAATGCCCAAAAAGCAACGAAGGTATATTCCTGAAAATGCAATTAAAACATATAACTTAAAAAAAAACACACAGATTCCCAGCTACACAAAACCCTCTAAACTACTAAAAATCCCACTAGACCGTATACAAAAGTGAAACATGAACTGTTATAAAAACAGGTAGATTGAATTTTAATTCTCTACAAAAATTGATAAAAAACTAATTAATCTTTACTTTACTCAGTGTAATTGCTTTCGTTCATTATTGTAAATTCAAAAATCATCAGTATTTATTTTATTTCATAACAAGATTGATTGCATCTTAATTGTCTATGGATTATCGTTTTTACACCAAGTAAATGCAAACACATATAAAGGATTTCAATGACGATGTTATAAGTATAAACAGATTCTAAATTACACCAGTTTATCTTAAAATTACCTTTCGTGAACTTTGAAACTTATATCAATGACTTAATGGAGACCTGAATTATATTTGCTTCGGTCATTTCCTATTTTCTGAATTAAAGAACTGAATGTTCGATTCAATTTATTTGTTTTGTTTCATTCTTTAGTATTGTATGATCAGTTGTCATATTGTTCTTATTGACTTTCATACTAATAACTGGAACGCTGCATATAAATAAAGTTTGTCACGAAATTTAAACTTACTTAAACCATTGTCATTAAACCATCACTATAGTTCGTCCAATACATCTGAAAAATTGTAAATAAAAAGATGCATTTACGAAACTTTGGAGTGCTTCTTATGTTCAGTATTATAACATTTATCGAACTTGTCTATGCTCAAAGTCATGCTGATGTTAAAAAGCTCTACACTGATTTGTTCGCTGACTATACAAAAGAAATCCTACCTACGGCGGACCAATCTAAACCATTAGTGGTAGGAGTTACATTTTACATGGCTTCATTCAATTCGTTTAGTGAGGTAGAAGAAACCATTTCACTTACTGCAGTAGTGAACATGAATTGGACTGACCCCGCTCTTATGTGGAATCCAACCTTGTATGGTAATGTAAACTCTATCACAATTAATCCGACAAATTTGTGGCTTGCCCAACTATTTCTTACAAACACGGTAGACTCGATGAATCCGATAGGAGATGACACAAAATTTTATCCTACAATTGTGTACACTGGAGAGGTGATTTATAATCATGGCGGAATTCTTAAGGCTAAATGCCCAACGAATATATCAAAATTTCCCTTTGATACTCAGACATGTACACTACAATTGATAACTTGGGGATTTTTTCAATCGAATCTTTTACTATCTTCCAATTTCGACAAAGCCCGTCTTGACTTCTTTGCTGCACATTCAGACTGGAATCTGTTAGAATACTCTACAAGTGTTAAGAAGGAGTCTTCCGGATACAGTATGTTAAACGTGAAACTAACTTTTAAACGCGAGCCGTTGTATTTCACAGTAATGATAATTCTTCCGACACTTCTATTTTCCCTTTTGAATCCATTAGTTTTCGTCTTACCAGTAGAATCTGGAGAACGAGTGTCATTATCGATGACTATTTTACTGTCATATGCCATATTTTTAACACTTGTGTCAGCTTCGATTCCTGCCTCTTCAAATCCAATGTGCGTTTTATTGATTGCTATGATCGCTATTATCTCGATCAGCGGAGTAATTGTAATTGGTTCTATTATCAATGCAAAATATTTCTTTCTAGAAAATGGCGAAAACATTGGAATGGTAATGAAATATTTCACCAAACTATGGTTGAGGAAAAAGAACAACGTGATTCCGATAGATGAATACAAAGAACCTGCCATTAGGGGAAAGGATATA